GAATCATTTGAAATTGTTAATAATGAGACCTGAAAATGAGTATTAAAAAATAGGTCTACTGAAGTTAGTATTGAAATGCAGGGTGAAGAGATAAGAACTTTGCTTATCATCATCACCTGTCAGGCAGTTGTAGTTTTGAGGATCCAGTGCTAGTGATTCACGTTTTGTTTTTCCTCTAAATATTCTATGCATGTTGTTGGTATCAATGGGATGTTACAAGCCACAAGATGTTTGATGAAAAAAAAAAAAAGGCAGAATTTATAAGCAAAGAACACAGGTACTTGGATAACAGATTATGTAGTTTTCCTTTTAACTGATAGTCCTGAGTACTTGTTTTACAAACTGCAAAGTGCCCTCAGATGTATTGACTTCACTGTGGAGATGGAGTATTTACTGTGCAATGCTGAGTCATGTAAAAGGAAAGGCAGTCTGTGGGCTGGTGAGAAAAGTGATAGAGACACGACTGTGCTCCCAAAGAAAAGACTTAGTTTTCTTCTTTTTTTTTTTTTTTTTTTCCCCTTTAATTTAACATCAGTAAACCAAATGAACCAAATGATACACTGCCCTACACCTGTTACACTGTATATACCAGTGTAATAGTGAAATGACTGTTTTACCCTGCTGGTGCTCCACCGGCCCCCTCTGAGCTCCCGCATAGGTACTCACGCAGGCCACACACACATACCCCAGATGCAGCAGTGTCCCTAGCACGCTAGAGGGAGCCAATACATAATTACAATGACCTTTTTTTTTTTTCTTTTTTTTTTTTTCTTTTTTACTTTTTTTTTTTTTCTTTTTTCTTCCAGTTAGCAGAACTTGCACGGGAGATAACAGGACATCCTAAGACAACCTGCGGGCTGGGTGTAAGGAATAAGGAAAGGAGAGCACAGGGCTCACGCAGCCCAGGGTCTGGCTCTGATGTTAGCTACATTTCCAAAGCCCTCCTGCTTTTACGAGTGACTTTTCCAAATAAGTGACTTGGCCGAGGACGCCGATTTCCATCAGCCAATCTGAAGCCTTCCTCCGGAAAGCAAAACATGTTGTAAACATTTCCTTTATTTCGTCTGTCTGTCGCTCTCACACTGAAAGTTGGCACATCTGAAAGCAGTGATTTTACGCTGCTGCTAACGTATGGATGGTTTATTTATACACTGCACTTTAACACAGCGTTGGTTTTATGATGGCTGTTCTGCAGGGCATCCTGTCCATGCCCAAGCTACAGACACGTCTCCAGGATGGGAGACGGGTCCAGAAAGAGCACTTATTGCATTGATGCATTAGCAAGACTTTCTCCAAGTCAGATGATGTTTATGGGCACCGAATGGGCTGGAGGCCATCCTACTGAGGAAGGCAACAGAGCAGCTTCTTTAAACCGAACCTTATAAAAGCCGCTCTGAAAATAATTGCTGGGAGCGCCTTCTAATTGCTCCGGAGTTGATTTTCCCCCTCGTTATTTTTTTAACCTTAAATGATTCATGCTACTTACACGCTCGTCACTCACAGCTCACAAATGGCAGCTTCCTCCCGGCACTTCGGCAATCCGAGCTCTCACCTTGCCAGCCTCAGTCCTCCCCCCGCGCCAGATAACCTCCCTCCGTGCCACGCCGGACCGTGCCGTGCGGGGGGCGCGCAGTGCGCTGTGCCGCGCCGGGTGGGGAGGGCGCTGCGGCCGCTCGCCCTGCACCGCACCGCACCGCACCGCACCCAGCGCTCCGCAGCGCTGCTCCCACGCTCATTCCCTTCGGGGTGGGCGACACCCGCCCGGGGCGGCTCCTGCAGAGCTGTTGGAGAGGGGAGGAGGGGGGGCGGGCTCCCCCCATCCACCCCTTCCTCCCTGCAACCCGGGGGTAGTCCCGGGGGGGCGAGGGGGGCGGAGGAGTTCGGGTGCTCCTTCGCAGTGCTTAGAAGAAGGAGTGCGTCCTTCGCATCTCCTCCTTATTTTCTCCTCCCGTCATCGCGGAAGACTTGTTAATACGTCTTAAAATAAATAATAGTAAAGAAAAAAAAAAAAAAAAAAAAAAAAAAGCATTAAGGAAGGAAAGGCGCGCGAGGGTGAAGGGTGGTGGGTTTGGTAAGGATTGGGTAAGCTGTGCTCCTCGGGTTTGAGGCCCCACATCCCGAGCACCGCGCACGTTGCGCGACTCCCAGCGAAGCAATCTAATCAATGACACCCAGCTCCAGCCGCTGCCCCGCCCCCCGCCCGCCCGCCGCTTCCCATTGGCCGGGAGGCGTCGGGGCCGGTCGTCATCGCCGCCTCTGATTGGCTGACGGGGAATCCGTATCAATGTTTAAGCCGCGGCGTGAGGTGAATAGAGGCAGTCGGCGAGCGGCGCTGGGAGAGCGCGGCGAGGCGGCCCCGCGAGTACTGCAGTGAGGGAAGCGAGGCGGAGGGGAACAGGGAGGAAAAAAAAAAAAAAAAGAAAGAGGAAAAAAAAAAAAAGGGGGGGGGAGTGAGAGGCAGAGAGCGGCTCCAACTGTTGAATTTTCGCTGCATCTCCACTTCCCTGCGGGCGGCTGGTGCCATGGATCTGGTTTATCGGGAGTCGGCGTTCCTTTTGCGTGCTGTCTGGCTAAGGCTGGCGACCGTCTGTTTGCGAGGGGCCACCCACCAATGAGGCAGAGAAGAAATTGTGTTTTTGCTTTGGCTTTCGCCAGCCTCTCCACCACAGGTTGCAGCATTAACTCTGTACTTTGGGTCCGGACTCAAATAAAGGAGAAAAAGCAGTACAGGACTGAGACTCGGAACTAGAGCTGTGTGTTGGGAACCTATGTTGCTTTGGGGTGTTTTCTTCTCTGTTTTTTTTTTTTTTTTTTCTTTTTTTCTTTTTTTCCTTTAATCTGAAAGAGCTCTGATTATTGCACACATAACACTGAGGAAAGGTGGTTTAAAAACACTCAGCAAAGCAGGAGACAGACGCGCCTCTGTGCCAGTGCGTGGATAACAGCCTTGTTTTCCTGATCCTCAGTCTCCCGGAGAAAGAGGTATAGTAAAAGTGTAGCTGGATCCGACACCCCCTCTCTCATTCTTTTCTTTTTTCTTTCCCCCCCTCCCCTCCAAAACATACATCTGATTATTATTATTATTTCTGTCTATAGAGTGAGTCAGAGAAGCGTTAGGGAGAAGCTGCAACTAATGTCTGTGAAGGGAGGAACATGAGGAGATAGTGAATGTGATTTGTTCCGCTGGATCTGACTTATCCAGCAGTCTGGAACACCTGCATTTGGGGTCTGCCATTCATTTATTTCTGGTTGTTAAAAGAACCTGAAACAAAATTGAGCAGCCTTTCCTTAGTATTTACTGAGGGAAAGGTAAATCAGACAGGGCAAACGCATCTGCGTTGCTGCTGCTCTCACACGATTACTGAGATGTCCAGAGAGACTACAAGAGCCTGAAGGGGCTGCAAAAATGCATCACACCCCGCCACGGAGCTGCATAGGTTTAATATAGGTGAATCAGGCGATTAAAAGACCTGGCACTTTATTCACCACCGGGATTGCTTTTCTCTTCCTCTCCCCTCCCCTGGATGAAGCGGACTAGGCGGCAGTATCACTGGGAGGAGATGCTGTATAGAAAGAAAAGAGAGGCACTTGACAGCGCAGCCCTGTGAATACAGAGACTGTTTTCCTTTTAGAGAGAGAGAGAGAGTGTGTGTGCTTTTCTTTTTTCCCCTCTCCTCCCCTCCCTCTCTCCCACCCCCCACAGTCCTTTCCTTTCTCTCGCGCTCTTGTTTAATCTATGCGTCCAGCCATGGGTTGCCTGTTGATTTCCTCTCGACTGGAGAGAAAAGCAAACTGGGATTAAACTGCAGCGAGAAAAGTGCAGCTTCTCAGACACGCATCCGCACGCATGCATAGACGCACAGAGAAAGGATGTGGTGGCGGCGGCTGCTGGCCTGTCTTAAAGAAACCCGAGCGTGCATCTGATTAGCGCAGCCCGCGATTGCTCTTAAAAGATACATGTTTGCTGCTAATGGTAATGATGAGCTGGTGGGTTTCTTGATTTTCACTATTTTTTTTCCCCTATCCTAGTAGGCGAGTGGGAGGCTGGTACTAGAGAGATTGAAAGGGAACTGCAAATCCGGACACTAGTTTTTCGTGGCTTTTTTTTTTTTTTTTTTTAATTTATTTTTTTTTTATCCTTTGCTCTGCCATTCTCATCCCCTTGCCTTTTGATTCGGGAAAGAAAGAGTGAGGGTGTTGGAAATAGAGGAGGAAATACCGATGGCAGCGAGATGCAGCTCTTCGCCGCAAGCAATGCAAGATTAGATCTCTAAATGCAGCAAAACACTCCCTGAAAGCCAACAGCCCCGCGGTGCAATCAGACATTTCACTGCCTCTCACTGCACACGAAGAGGGCTCCTCCAACAAGCTGAGACTTTTTTTTCCCTACTGTCTCTCTCCCATCCCTCCATTCCATCAATTGCATCGCAAGTGATAAGTAGCAAATAAGATTTTTCTCCCCCCTGCTCACAGACCTGTGGCCACCACCCCCTTTTCCCATGTATATATGAATACACGTATTAAAAAAAAAAAAAAAAAAATCTTTTTTGATCATTTTTTAGAAACACAACCACTGCCACTGATTTTTTATTATTATTATTTTTATTATCCTTTGTACATCTGCGAACATTGAAGGACTGGGAACGCTTCATCTGCCCAGAGGAGAAGATCTTTTGTGAAATTTCTGATTTTTTTGCAATCCTCCCACTGCCGAAGTTGGACTGCCGAAGTAACTGTGAGGGGACCGCAATCACGGCGAGCGCATCCCGAGACGCTGCCGGAGCTGCTCCCCCCTCCCCCACTACCCCCCTTCGTCTGCTCCTCCCTCCCTCTGAGCTACATGGTCCATTTGCTGCCTCTCATCCTGTGTCTCTGCAGATGTTTTAGAGCAACAGGTTCAGGAACTTAAAATATAGGGGTGGGGAGAGAGAAAGAAAAAAAAAAAAAAAAGAAAAAAAGAGCCGACGGAGGAGGAGGAAGAGCAAACCTAGTGCAGGAAGCAGAGAAGACAGGGACGACCCTGGTCGCCGCTGCAGCTGCTGCCACCCCCCCACCCCTGCTCGGGGATGTACCTTTCCATTTGTTGCTTCTTCCTCTGCTGGGCTCCTGCCCTGACACTGAAGAACCTGAATTACTCAGTGCCGGAGGAGCAGGGAGCAGGCACGGTCATTGGAAACATCGGCCGCGATGCACGGTTGGCGGCGGGGGCAGCAGGTGGTGGGCTGCTGCCTGCTGAGCGCGGTGGCCCCGGACGCGGACCCAAGTCCACCTTCCGGGTTCTGGAGAACTCGGCCCCTCACCTCCTAGATGTGGACGGGGAGAGTGGGCTGCTCTACACCAAGCAACGCATTGACCGTGAGGCACTGTGCCGGCGCAGCACCAAGTGCCAGCTGTCCCTTGAGGTGTTCGCCAATGACCAGGAGATCTGCATGATCAAGGTGGAGATCCAGGACCTGAACGACAATGCACCGACATTCCCTTCTGACCAGGTGGACATGGACATCTCAGAAAATGCTGCGCCAGGCACCCGCTTCCCCCTCACTAGTGCCCACGACCCAGATTCTGGGGACAACGGGCTGCGTACCTACCTTCTAACCCGTGATGACTATGGACTCTTCTCTCTTGACGTGAAGTCCCGTGGTGATGGCACAAAGTTTCCAGAGCTGGTCATCCAGAAGCCATTAGACCGTGAGGAGCAGAGCCACCACACTCTGGTGCTGACAGCACTGGATGGTGGCGACCCACCACGATCGGGCACAGTGCAGATCAATGTTCGCCTCATTGACTCCAATGACAACAGCCCTGTCTTTGAAGCAGCCTCCTATGTGGTTGAACTGCCAGAGAATGCACCACTAGGGACAGCTGTTATTGACCTCAATGCTACTGATGCTGATGAGGGCACCAACGGTGAGGTGCTCTACTCCTTCAGTGGCTATGCACCTGATCGTGTCCGTGACCTCTTTAGCATCGACCCACAGAGTGGCCTCATCCGTGTCAAGGGCAACCTGGACTATGAGGAGAGTGGTCTCATAGAGATTGATGTCCAGGCTCGAGACCTGGGGCCCAACCCCATCCCTGCTCACTGCAAGGTCACGGTCCGCCTCATTGACCGCAATGACAATGCTCCCACCATTGGCTTTGTCTCCGTTCGCCAGGGAGCACTGAGTGAGGCTGCCCCACCAGGCACCGTCATTGCTCTTGTGCGGGTCACTGACCGTGACTCGGGTAAGAATGGGCAGCTCCAGTGCCGGGTGCTAGGAGGTGGTGGTGGGCCTGGAGCTGTTCCTTTCACATTGGAGGAGAACTATGACAACTTCTATACTGTGGTCACCGACCGGCCCCTGGACCGTGAGGCACAGGATGAGTACAATGTGACCATTGTGGCACGTGATGGGGGCAACCCCCCACTCAACTCCACCAAGTCGTTCTCTGTCCGAATCCTTGATGAGAATGACAACCCACCCCGCTTCAGCAAGAATCTTTATGTATTGCAGGTGCCCGAGAACAATATCCCTGGAGAGTATTTGGGCTCTGTCTTGGCTCAAGACCCTGACCTGGGCCAAAATGGGACAGTCTCTTATTCCATTCTGCCTGGGCACGTGGGTGACGTATCCATCTACACCTATGTCTCCGTCAACCCAACCAATGGTGCTATCTATGCCCTGAGGAGCTTTAATTATGAGCAGACAAAGCACTTTGAGTTTCGCGTGCTGGCCAAGGACTCAGGTTCACCCCACCGTGAGAGCAACGCCACAGTACGTGTCACCGTGCTCGATGTCAATGACAACGCACCCCTCATCGTCCTACCTGCCCTCATCAATGATACCGCTGAACTGCAGGTGCCACGCAATGCTGGGGTGGGCTATCCTGTGGGCACCGTTCGTGCCCTGGACAGTGACTTTGGGGAGAGTGGGCGCCTTACCTATGAGATTGTGGAAGGCAATGAGGAGCACCTCTTTGAGATGGACCCCACTAGTGGTGAGATACGCACCTTGCACCCCTACTGGGAGGAGCTCAGCCCTGTGGCTGAACTAGTGGTAAAAGTCAGTGACCATGGCAAGCCCAGCCTCTCTGCGGTGGCCAAGCTCATTGTCAGGGCCTTGGCAGGGCCCCTACCCGAGGCTGGCGAGCCACAAGTGAATGGCGAGCAGCATCGGCGACCACACTGGGACTTGTCGCTGCCCCTGATCGTGACCCTGAGCACTGTCTCCATCATCTTGCTGGCTGCCATGATCACTATTGCTGTGAAGTGCAAGCGAGAGAACAAGGAGATCCGCACCTATAATTGTCGCATTGCCGAGTATAGCCACCCTCAGCTGGGAGGAGGGGGAGGCAGTGGCGGGGGAGGAGGAGGCAGTGGCAGTGGAGGGGGCAAGGGCAAGAAGAAGAAGATCAGCAAGAATGACATTATGCTGGTGCCCAGTGAGGGCGAGGACAGCCGGGGCCCCCTCAATGTCATGAACGTGGTGAGCAGCCCATCCCTGGCCACCTCACCCATGTACTTTGACTACCAGACCCGCCTGCCCCTCAGCTCTCCCAGGTCTGAGGTGATGTACCTGAAGCCCGCCTCCAACAACCTGACTGTACCCCAGGGACATGTGGGCTGCCACACCAGCTTCACAGGGCAAGGGACTAACGCCAGCGAGGCTCCCCCGAGCCGGATGTCCATAATTCAGGTAGGAGACTTTTAGAATTCCCTGGACCTCACTTTAGACGCTGGTTTAACTTTACGTTTTGTCTGCAGTGAAATCTGCTGTAAAACACCACTGAAGGGGCCAACCCAAGTCACTAAATAGAGGTGGACTTAATAAAAGTGGAAGCAGATCACAGTTGATGTGTCTGGTTCTGCTGTCACACAGGTGTTTCTTATGTGACTCAAAAGTAAGTGCCCAGTAAAACAAATGGAATTACAGCAGTGTAAATGAGGTGCGTGTGAGGGTGCAGGTAGGCATTTAATATATTTGGGGCACTTTGGGGTAATTTCCTAGAAGATCATCAGATAGAAGTGGGCGCTTCTACAGGTTTCACTTGGCTTTGGTTTGGGGGTGGAGACGGGGGAGGGTGTTTCCAAAGCAATTCTATCACTTGTAGTGACAGGACATGAGAGAAACTCTACCCACTGAGGACATCTATTGCAACAGTGTACTATATCCCTCCAATCGTGTATGTAAATATGAGCTTTCTTTTCAAGATGCGTGGTTTTATTTTTTTTTAATTTCCTTTTTTTTTTTTTTTTTTTTTTTTTTTTTTTTTTTTTTTTTTTTTTTTTGGACACAGAACAGTATCATTGGGGCCCCATTGCCTCCTCCTCTCCCCATAAACAACCAAAAATTTTTGTTTAGTCAAGTAGAAAAAAATGTATGTGGTGACTCCCTCCTACCCCTAAATGTCAACAAAGCTCACGTCCTGTCATAAAACAGCAAAACAACTAGTCAGATTTCCAGTAGCCTGAGTCAATATTGATTATTGCTTTATAGTGAAAGACTTACATGCTGTGTCTTCTACCAAAGAAACTACATTTAGAAATTACAGCTGGACTGCATTCTGCTGTCAGTTATATCCATACTGTCCTCTACCGACTTTTGTGAATGTGAGAATTTGCAGAATTTGGACCATTGGATCCAGAGGGTGCTAATCAATTGACTTAATTTCTAGCAGGTATTCCAAACTCAGAAGAAATGTTCTAGAGCAGTGCACTCACAGAGTGAAGGTGAGGGCAGAATTTGGCTCCAGTTGATTTAATTTAAAGTATTGCTTCATGATTAATGCAGCTTAATGCTCAAATACTACAGGTATGTTCCAAAGTGATTTTTAACATTTGGATTGAAAGCAGGCTCTGGATAATGACTATTAAATATATTTGAAATGTCATATCTGTTTTGTCCTGTGGTCTCCTAATATGCTGTTCTGAGTCATAGGGGAATGAGCTGAGTGTATCAGAAGTGACACAGACTCACTTTGTGTATGCAGCTACTGGGAAAGAAGTTGCACTTTAGACACCTGATGTACCAAAAGAAAATTCGTAGTACCTTTGAGTTATGCTATCCTGCAGTCTATGATCACTGTATGTTCTAGTTGCCAGCTGCATCTAACATTTTAAACTAAATAGAAGTGTCCATCAGTTAAGTAACAAAAAATTCCAGTGACTGATAGCCTGAAAATTGAATATTTTTGACAGGAAAAAAAAAAAAAAAAAAAAAAAGGGAAAAAAAAAGGAAAAAAAAAAAAAAAGAGAAAGTAAAGGCTGTTTGTACAAGGTCACTGTGAACTAATCCTCAGCCACTATTGAGTTGAGTTATGTCACAGAAACAATTTCATTTTATGCCTATCATGAATTTGTGTTGCTGTCAATTAGGTGAGCAGAGCAATACGTAAAATCTGGAATTGATTTTAACAAAAAGTGACACTTCAGGAAAGAGTTTAGGTTAGGGCGCAACCAGAGATAATTTGATTTATAATTCATGCTTTATGAGACAAATAAGTTTCAATGACACATGTTTAAATAATGTCAACTTTTTTTACTGTAAAATGGAGTGGTCAGAATGCTAAGAAAAAAAGAGTTTTTTTTTTTTTTTTTAAACCTACCGGCAAGTGTAATAGTTACTAAAAGCCAAATAATTTTACTTTCCTACAACCATGTAATGCCTATATAAAGCAATTAATTCATGTATTGATGCTACTGAGTAGTAAAAATTCAATTGTAGTGTAAAATCCCTATGGAAAATATGGTACCTTTTTTACAGTGTTCAGTGTATAATAACAGTCATGATTTTTTTTTAATTTTATTCTATTTTTTTTTCCTGAGGTCTATATAAAGCTAAAAAAGGAATTTCCTCCCTTAAAAAGGTGTGTTGTGGTTTCTGTAAGAGTTTTCGATATGGCGACTGTGGGAAATGCTTACTGTAACTCCACACAGCACATACAGGCGTATCAAATATTTTACTCTTGCTTTCCTTGAATATCCAACACAGCACGGGATACTTAGATGGTCCAGATTAGGACACATTCATTTTCCCCAGTGAACACCTGTTCAAATGTACTTACTAATATTATACTTTGTAATTGTATTAAACAAACAAAACCATCATGTGAAACAGAGCAGTTGTTTTCAGTTCAGGAGAGGCACAGACTTAAAGTAGTCAGAGGGGAAAATCCGATCCTTCACTCTAATTTTGTATTACTGAAATACGTTTTGTATTCTCCATCTCTACATCTCTAGAGTAAATTTTATATAAAAATTTGAATTCAGTATGTATACACTACTTTCTGTCTGGTCTTCCATTTCTGCATCATATAAAATTCAAACTGCAAGCTCACAGAGAAGCTGTAAAGGATCAGTCCTCTCTGTGGATCTAACATACCACAGGAAACACAAGAAGAGCAAATTGCACAGTTAGGAATCAAAAGTATAGCCAGTGGATAAAAAAAAGATACAGAATCCAAGCAGCTGCTTTATCATCCCCTTTCATTAGTCAATTCAAAACGGCAGTTTTCTTTGTTACTTCAGTAAGAGAAAGCCAAATGGTTGTGCAAGTGTTCCCTAGCGAATATTCACTTGAGTTTTTCCAGGTATATTGCCGAATCGTGGTAATCTCACACTATATTATTTATACAATGAAACTGCTTTCCTTCACTCATTTTCTCAGCAAGTGAGAATGGCGAAGTTCTGTAACAGGAATCAGATATTGTAACTTTGTTTATCTATATATATTTATATGCTTATATAGAGTGCATATACATATGTATATACATGCTAAGTGTTACAATATTACTTAGACGAATTGAGGCTGTAAATATTTAAAATCAAGTAGTTTATTTATCTGAAAGATCCAAATTTTCTCATTCCTGATAGGGGTACTTGCCTTTTTCTTTTTTTTCTTTTTTTTCTTTTTTCTCCTTTTCAGTAGGATTAACATCAGTAGGCTTTGTGATTTCTAATGAAATTATGCTACAGGCAGCACAATTTGTATCGATGTATACCTGTGGGATAAACTGTTCCTTAGTGGCTATAGGTTTCAGACTCACCCCAGAGGACTAGAAGCAAAATAAAGCTGCATATGTATTACAGAGTAGTGTAATCTTCCCTCTCTTTGAGTGACTCCTGTTATTCACTAGTCACGAGGTCCAACAGCTTGTGTCTTTGTTCACTATTTTGTAGCATTCGGCTACTTGTAATGATTGTGTGTGTTACTTATGCGAGTCAGAGAAGTCATTTGTTACTATAATAATTAAATAATTTAAACATGCACACTTATAGGTACGTGTAAAATTTTGGATAAACAGACAAGGATGCTGAATACCTCTAGCATTTATTGGCTTATAAGAGAATTGCAACTGCCTACAGTTTCTGAAAATAGACCATTTGTGATTTGACATGCACGTGAGGTTGATGTGTATAAAGAACAGCGTTAATAATGTACCGTGCAGTTAGAACAACTACACATTATCACATTCTGTTGTTTTTTACTTCAGCAATCACATTCTAAACATACTTTAGAAACAGTGCTTTCAAAGAGTAACTCAGTGAAAAACATTCAAATACAGACAAGAGCTATACAATTCTCCCCATCACATTAAATATTCCATGTAGTCTTTCAATCACTTAGAGTCCAAACTGTTCATTTTTATTGGGGAAAAATAGGGAAGGCTGGAGAAAATTGAGTGTCTACATGGCTGACAGGCAGTATCTATTCAGTTGAAATCTTAAAGACTACTGGGCAGACTCCCTTCATCTCATTTTGGTGAGTACATCAAGTTCATGTACTCTCCTGTCAAAGAGAAACAGTATTTTGCTTTATTTTGAAGAAGATATATATTAAATATGTATATATAAAGCATACATATATATAAATATATATGTGAAAAATGTATAAACATACCCGTGTACGTACATGTCTCTAATAACAAAAGGTTATGTGATGATCAGTCTGTGTTAGTTATGGGGAAGCCTTTCCCTGTATGAACAAGTAACAGTCTTTTTTCCTGCAGGATTCCAGCATATAAGAATGAATGGATACAGGGGAACCAATAGGTTCCTTAAATATATAAATTCTGGAAAAAGATTTCTCAAAGTGATATGACGGTAGTGCAGAAAACTATCTACTGCAAAGACTAGAGATTTTTTATCATTCTTGTGGTGCAACCTGGAGAGATTTGAATATATACGAGGAATGAGACAGGAGTTAATAAGGGAAGTAATGTCCACAGGTTTTGATATACAACCCAGAGAAAAAAGAATGGCAGTTCTTCAAGAAGCTCTCAAGCTGGCAACCACTTCAGTTGCTGTACCAGGCAGTCCTGTAGCATTTTAAGATAAAGTACAAATCATTCTTAATACTTCAGGCACCCAATGTTTACGATGTGTCAACAGATTACTGTTAACTCCCAGTGCAGCTTCATTGCAAGGTGCCTGGTAGTACCTAAGAAGATGCAGTCTTCAGGGGAAATAAAAACATGAGCTACATTAGTACTGCTCTCTCTTTAGATATTATATCATTTCATGCTTTACTTTGAGAAACTTCAGCTCAAAAATGTCAGGATTGCAAAAAGGAAGCATTCAACTTTCATTCAACTTACAGAAGTGGCATTGTTCTCAGTGTTTTAAAAATTCCTGTCTAAAATCAGAGGTAATAAGTTTGATTTCTGTATCTCCCGCTGCAAATATATTCTCTCTCAC